TTTTTTGTATTTTTTAATAGAGACAGGGTTTCCCCATGTTGGCCAGGCTGGTCTCGAACTCCTGACCCCAAGTGATCCTCCCGCCTTGGCCTTCCAGAGTGCTGGGATTACAGGCGTGAGCCACTGTGCCTGATGATAGTTTCTTAAAGGGAACATACTATTTTTCTTCTAAACATTTTTAAACCACCAAATGAAATTTATTATCCTTTAAATAACTTTACTGGGGTTTGTTTAAAGTAGTTTAGCTATACCAATTATTTCTTTGTTTTCAAAGGGAAAAAGGATTGCCTAAACAAAAATAGGTGCAGTCACCTCGTGTTGAATTCACAATGAAGACAAAATATTTGTTGATGCCCACTATTTCTAACGTAATATAATAGTATGTTTCATACTTTAAAAATAATTAATTTTTCATATATGTTATTTAATGTATGAGGTTGAAATACCAGGTTGCCAGTCTTCAACAGTTTTTGACCTATAAAATAGTTTTTGATGTATAAAAATGTCAGTTTTATACAGTTTTAACCTAATTTGTGATTTTAGAGACTCTTAAATTCTCTTAGAATTTTCGTCACTTGAAAATTCATCTTCGTAGTAGGCATTTTGTATATAAACAATTAAATATTGAATGTATATCCTTTAATCTGAAATTTCCCTTTTAATGCGATTAGGTGAATTTTGTGACACAGGTGATTATAATGCTCAGTGAGAAAGGCAGGAGACAGAATATGTATTGTTAGTTTGGCTAAATTGTTATAAAACAAGAAGGAAACGTGTAAAACATTACGATATTGTTAACTCTTATTTTACGTGCATTTGAAGGTATAAGATAACCACATTTATATGTTTCAGTCAGTCGTTCTGAGGTAAACTTAAGTGATTCCCATTTATGTGTGCAGTTGCATGAGTTTAGACAAAAGTGGAACATTTCTATCACCCTAAAAAGTTTCCTGTTCCCCTCTGCAGTCTGTCCACGCTGTGCTCCCAGCTTCCTGTAGTCCTGATGTACTTTCTGTCCCAACAGTTTTGTGTGTTCTAGACTTTTCCTACAAATGGAGGCATAGAAAATGCAGGTTTTGATTGTCCGGTTTCTTTCATGTAGCATAGCCATGCTTTTTTTGTGTCAGTGGCCTGTCCCTTTTGTTGCTAAAAAGGCTGAGGATACCACAGTTTGTTCATCCATTTGCCAGTTGATGGACATTTGGGTCATTTCCAGGATTTGACTAGTAGGAATAAAACTGAACATTTGCTTATAATTTTTTCTGCGTAATTAAATTTTCCTCCATCTTAAGTAAATACCTGAGAGGAGGACTCCTGCTCCTGTTGTAAGTATATGTTTAACTTTATAAGAAGCTGCTTTTCAAAGTGACTGTACAGTATTTTACATTCCCACCAGCAATATCTGAGAGTTTCCGTTGACACCATTGGGTACTGTTGTCACCTTTTGAAAATGTATCTGTTCTCATGGGTGGGTGTAGTGGTCTCTCATTATGATTGGAATCTGCATTTCTCTGGTGGCTGGTGATAGGAAGCATCTGCGTGTGCTTATTGGTCATTCCCGTATCTCCTTTTTATTGGTTTATTAATCTTACTGACTGGTCGTTCCTTTTTTTTTTTCTTTTTTTTTTTTTGAGATGGAGTCTCGCTCTGCTGCCCAGGCTAGAGTGTAGTGGCCGGATCTCAGCTCACTGCAAGCTCCTCCTCCCGGGTTCACGCCATTCTCCCACCTCAGCCTCCCGAGTAGCTGGGACTACAGGCACCTGTCACCTCACCCGGCTAGTTTTTTGTATTTTGTTAGTAGAGACGGGGTTTCACCGTGTTAGCCAGGATGGTCTCAATCTCCTGACCTAGTGATCCGCCCGTCTCGGCCTCCCAAAGTGCTGGGATTACAGGCGTGAGCCACCGCTCCCGGCCTGACTGGTTGTTCTTTATAGATTCTGAGTACAGTCCATTGTCAAATGTGTTTTGCAAGTATTTCCTCCTAGTCTGTAGTTGGGTTTGCATTTTTATGAATCTCTTTTAAAGAGCACAATTTTGAACTTTTAAGGGCCTTTGTTTAAAATCAACTGACCTTACAAGTGAGTTATTTCTGGACTCTGTTCCATTCTGTTAATCTGTGTCTATCTTATGCCAGTACCATATGGTCTGAATTATAGCTTTATAGAAGTCTTGAAATCCAGCAGTGCACATCCTCTATCTTTGTTATTGTTTTTCAAAATTGTTTTCAGCCAGACATGGTGGCTCACGCCTGTAATCCCAGCATGCTGGGAGGCTGAGGCAGGAGGACTGCTTGCACGCAGGAGTTCGAGACCAGCCTGTGCAACATAGTGATGCCCTGGCTTTGTGGAAAAACATTCGTTTTAGCTAGTGGAAATCTTTCGCATCTCCATATACATTTCAGCCTCAGTTTATCAATTTCCATGAAAATTTATGGTTGGGATTGTGTTGAATTTATAGGTTAAGTTGGAAAGAACTGATACCTTAACAATAATGAGTCTTCCATTCCAACCTGGTTTAGCTGTTCATTTATTTAGGTCTTATCTTTCAGCAGTGCTTTGTAGTTTTCTTTACACACATTATATGAATTTTATTCCTAAGTATTCTGTGTATTTTCATGCTACCATAAATGGCATTTTACAATTTTAATTTCTAAATTATGTATTGCTACTCTAAGAAAATACAGTTGATTTATTAGTATTTTACTTTTTTTTTTTTTTTTTTTTGAGACGGAGTCTCGCTCTGTCACCAGGCTGGCCTATAGTTTTCTTATCATTGTAAAAAATGATATGATTTGTCGATATAATACTGGCCTCATGGGCCTGGTGTGGTGGCTCACGCCTGTAATCGCAACACTTTGGGAGGCCGAGATGGGTGGATCACGAGGTCAGGAGATTGAGACCATCCTGGCTAACACGGTGAAACCCTCGTCTCTACTAAAAATAAAAAAATTAGCCGGGCATGGTGGCAGGCGCCTGTAATCCCAGCTACTCGGGAGGCTGAGGCAGGAGAATGGCATGAACCCAGGAGGTGGAGCTTGCAGTGAGCCGAGATCGTGCCACTGCACTCCAGCCTGGGCAACAGAGTGAGAGTCTGTCTCAAAATAAATAAATAAAAATAAATAAATAAATACTGGCCTTATGAGTTGGGAAGTGTCCTTCTTGTAAAATTTTTTGGAAGAGTTTGCATAGAATTAATATTTTTTATTCCTTAAATGTTTAGTAGAATTCACTAGTGAAAGTGACTCGGGTCTGGAAAGTTTTTAATACAAATTCAATTTCTTTAATTGATAGAGAACTATTCAAGTTATCTGTTTCTTTGTCAGGCACAGTGGCTCATGCTTGTAATTCCAGCACTTAGGGAGGCTGAGGTGGGTGGATCAGCTGAGGTCAGGAGTTTGAGACCAGCCTGGCCAACATGGTGAAATGCTGTCTGTACTAAAAATACAAAAGAAAATTAGGAGGGTGTGGTGGCGCATGCTTTTAATCCCAACTACTGAGGAGGCTGAGGCAGGAAAATTGCTTGAGCCCAGGAAGCAGAGGTTGCAGTGAGTGGAGATCACGCCACTGTACTCCAGCCTGGGCGACAGAGTGAGACTGTCTCAAAAACAAAAAAATTAGCTGGGCCTGGTGGCACACACATATAATCCCAGCTACTTGGGAGGCTGAGGCAGGAAAATCGCTTGAGCCCAGGAGGCGGAGGTGGCAGAGTCCAGATCGTGCCACTGCACTCCAGCCTGGGCAACAGAGCAAGACTCTATCTCAAAAAAAAAAAAAAAAAAAAAAACTATTCAAGTTATCTATTTCTTCTTGAGTAATCTTGGGTAGTTTGTGTTTTTGAAGGAATTTGTTTCATCAAAGTTGTGAAATTTGTTGGCAAAAAGTTGTTCTATACTCTTCTCACATCCTTTAATACCTGGAGGATCTGTGGGACGTCCGCTCTTTCAGTTCTGATACTGAGAGTTCGCGTCTTCTTTTTTTCTTGACTTCAAGAAAATTTGTTTTCAAAGAACCAGCTCTTGATTTCATTATTCTTCTCCATTGTTTGTTTTCTCTTTCCTCAGTTTCTGCTCTAATCTTTTTTTTTTTTTCCTTCTTCTTCTTACTTGGGTTTCATTTGCTCTTGTTAATTTGCTTTACAAATCATAAGTCCGTCAGCATGTGTGACCTTCGATCTGTGTCTCATCAACTCAGCAAGACGTTGGACTGTGTTTGAATTTCTTTTCCCTGTACTGCAGTCTGGGAATTTCCTTCAATCAGGAAGCTCTGACAAATGCAGGCTCACCTTGTTTGTTTCTGGGACTGTAGGTCTGCACTGCCAGTTGTGCCATGTCTGAAAAACAGCTCTTTTATATGTTTTGTCCAGTTTCCTGGTTGTTTATGGTGGAAGGGCAATTCCTGTAGTAACTCATCTTTCATGGGCTGAAGCAGAGGTCCTTTACAAACTTTTCAGAATAATCAGAAGAAATAAATTCTGTCTCTTTACCTTTTAATCAGTTCAGTCCAACTTCTCCACATTCCTTCTTCTGGATTTGTTTTTACTCTAGAACAAATTGATTTCATGATCTGTTGAAACTCATTATCTATCCTTAAATTACTTGCAGATGAGGACATCTCACAATATAGGTTCATGCTGGATCTTATAAGTTCTCTTAGTATGATGTTTTTGTTGTTCTTTATTTTCTAATTTCTGTCCTAGAGCTAAACGGCCTTCATTGTAAGCATGACAGATGAGACTGCTTTACTCAAATATTTAATATATAGCCCTGAAGCACTGGAGAGGCTAAGTGCATTTATATATATATATTTTATTAAGTTGCCTTGGGCTTGTTTTCCATCATTAGATTTGGTCTTTGTCTAAATACATTATATGCAATTATTGTTATTTTTCACTTGTGACCTTACTCAGTGTTTGTTACTATTCTCATCTTATTCACTTGAATAATGCTTAAAGTTTTAACCACATAAACAGTATTTACTTGTCTGATTTTTTTTTTCCCTTAGATGGTATAGCTGTATGCTGGGAAAGAAATGCAGCCTGGCGCCTCTGAAGGAAGAGCTTCGCATACAAGGGGTGAGGCTTCGTCATTACTGTTCTCACGTAGCTACTTTTCTTTGTATCCATGGGGCACAAGTACAGTTTTGCTACATTGATGTATTGCATTGTGGTGAAGTCAGGGCCTTCAATGTAACTATCACTGGAACAATTAAGCAGCCTCCCATCACCCGGTCTCCCACTCCCCAACCACAAGTCTTCATTCATCCATCATTCCATACTTTGCTTCCATGTGTACACATTATTTAACTCTACTTAGAACTAAGAACATGTGGTGTTTGTCTTTCTGTGTCCCAGTTGTTTCACGTAAGATAATGGCCTTCAGCTGGCTGGGCGCGGTGGCTCACGCCTGTAATCCCAGCACTTTGGGAGGCCAAGGCAGGTAGATCTCGAGGTTAGGAAATTAAGACCATCCTGGCTAACATGGTGAAACCCTGTCTCTACTAAAAATACAAAAAAAGTAGCCGGGTGTGGCAGTGGGCGCCTGTAGTCCTAGCTACTTGGGAGGCTGAGGCAGGAGAATGGCATGAACCCGGGAAGCGGAGCTTGCAGTGAGCCGAGATTGCACCACTGCACTCCAGCCTGGGCAACAGACTGGACACAGGCTGTCTCCAGACAAAAAAGATAATGGCCTCCAGTTCTATCCATGTTGCTGAAGACACAATTTCATTCTTCTTTATGGCTGAATAGTATTCCATTGTATGTGTATACTACATTTTTTTTTATCCAATCCTTTGTTGATGGATACTTAATTCAAGTCCAGATATCTTTTCTTTCTTTTCTTTTTTTTTTTTTTTGACCAGGTCTAGCTCTGTTCCCAGGCTGGAGTACAGTGGTGGGATCATGACTCACTGTAACCTTGATCTCCTGGGCTCAACCCGTCCTCCCGCCTCAGCCTCCTGAGCAGCTGGGACTCTAGGCACATGGCACCATCCCTAGCTATTTTTTTTTTTTTTTTTTTGTAGTGATGAGGTCTTGCCGTGCTGCCCAGGCTGGTCTCAAACTCCTGGGCTCAAGCAGTCCTCTCACCTCAGCCTCCCAAAGTGCTGGGATTACAGGTATGCACCGTTGTACCCCACCTAATGATTTCTTTTCCTTTGGAACTAAGTCTTCTAGTATTTTGTATACTTTCAGGTATTACATTCAAGTCTTTAGCCCATCTTGAGGTTACTTTTCATATATCTACTTTTTTCTTTTTTTCTTTTTTTTTTTTTTTTTAAATGGGGTCGGGCTAGGCTCAGTGGCTCACGCCTGTAATCCCAGCACTTTGGGAGGCCAGTGCAGGCGGATCACAAGGTCAAGAGATCGAGACCATCCTGGGCAACATAGTGAAACCCCATCTCTACTAAAAACACAAAAATTAGCCGGGCATGGTGGCGGGCACCTGTTGTCCCAGCTACTCAGGAGGCTGAGACAGGAGAATCACTTGAACCTGGGAGGCAGAGGTTGCAGTGAGCTGAGATCGTGCCACTGCACTGCAGCCTGGTGACACAGCTAGACTCTATCTCAAAAAAAAAAAAAAGAAAAAGATAGGGTCTTGCTCTGTCAACCAGACTGTAGTGTGGTTGCACGAACATAGTTTGCTGCAACCTCAAACTTCTAGGCTCAAGTGATCCTCCCACTTCAGCCTCCCAAGTAGCTGGGACTGTTGGCACACACCACCACGCCCAGCTAATTTTTAAATCTTTAGTAGAAACAGGGTCTCTCTGTGTTGCCCAGACTGGTCTCAAACTCCTGCACTCAAGTAATCCTTATTTTTTATAAAGATAGGGTCTCGCTGTATTGCCCAGGCTGGTCTCAAACTACTGGCCTCAAGTGATCCTCCCACCTTGGCCTCCCAAAGCGCTGGGATTACAGGCGTGACCCACTCACCTGACCTGTATCTACTCTGATGGTAGTTTTGAGTATAGAATTTTCTTTATACTCTAAAACTCTAAATATTTTTTTTGTTTTGTTTTCTAAGTTCTATGTTTTTAGGGCTAAAATGTTTTTTTTATAGATTATTAAAACAAGGCCTTTTTTGACAATTATAACAGAGAAGGGTGGAGAAAAACAGATGAGTAGAATGTCAGAGAGAAACCGGAAATCAAAAAACCTGGTATCTACCACTGACCTCACATCGAACTCCTTTTTATTTTTAATTTTTTAAAATTTTTATTTTTTACCATGCCTCCAAGACAAGTTCTTTATAGATCCAGAAACTCAAGCTAGGTAGGTTTAAGGTTTTGTTGTGGGCCATGCAGTTAGCTCTGGGGGAACAGCACCAGAACACAGTCTCGGTCCCGTGTGCTTCCCGCTAGGATGACGTTCCGACATTCCACAAGAGTAGAGCCCCTTGCTCCTGTTTCAGAAGGCAGATCACAAGTAAGTACTCCCAGGCGGGGCAAAGTGGCTCATGTCTATAATCACAGCACTTTGGGAGGCTGAGGCGGGCAGATTGCTTGAGCCCAGGAATTCAAGACCAGCCTGGGCAACACAGTGAAATCCCATCTCAACAAAAAAATACAAAAAATTAGCCAAGTATGATGGCGCGTGCCTGTAGTCCCCACTACTCAGGAGGCTGAGGTGGGAGGATCCATTGAGCCTGGGAAGTCGAAGTTGCAGCAAGCTAAGATCACACCACTGAACTACAGTCTGGATGACAGAGTGAGACCCTGTCTCCCAAAACGATTTTCTTTTAAATAAAATAAATGCTCCCCCTGCCACTTCCACTTTCCTCCCAGTTTCTGGTGTTTGGTGTGAGTCAGAGGACTTCTCAACAAAAGCGTCAGATGCACATCGGTGGGAGGAGCAGAGTTTCTGGTCTCTGGTTTCTCTCTGACGTCCTATTCTTTCTTCCTCTTTTCCTCACAATACCATTTCTTGGGTAAATTGTGAGAGCTACAAACTTGTTCCTTTACCTTTCTTAAAATCTGATTGATAAAAGAGATTATCTCTCTGTATCTACCCAGGATTTAGTTGGCTTTCTTTCTAGAAAAGAAAACAAAAAATCATTTGAGGCCACTTATGGTGACTCACACCTGTAATCTCAGCACTTTGGGCGGCCAAGGTGGGCGGATTGCTTGAGATCAGGAGTTCGAGAGCAGCTTGGCCAAGATGGTGAAACCCCGTCTCTACTAAAAATACAAAAAGTAGCTGGACATGGTGGCACTCACCTGTAATCCCAGCCACTCGGGAGGCTGAGGCAGGAGAATTGCTTGAATCTGGGAGGCAGAGGTTGCAGTGAGCCGAGATCGCGCCACTGCACTCCAGTCTCTGAGTGACAGGGTGAGACTCTGTCTCAAAAAAAAACAACAAAAAAAACTCACGGCCGGGCGCGGTGGCTCAAGCCTGTAATCCCAGCACTTTGGGAGGCCGAGACGGGCGGATCACGAGGTCAGGAGATCGAGACCATTACTAAAAAATACAAAAAACTAGCCGGGCGAGGCGGTGGGCGCCTGTAGTCCCAGCTACTCGGGAGGCTGAGGCAGGAGAATGGCGTAAACCCGGGGGGCGGAGCTTGCAGTGAGCTGAGATCCGGCCACTGCACTCCAGCCTGGGCGACAGAGCGAGACTCCGTCTCCAAAAAAAAAAAAAAAACGCAAAAACTCACTTGAGTCATATTACAAATAATTCTCTAAAGAGCTGTGTTTTTGGTGTTTCATATATTTGAACCTTTAAGTCACATCTATAAATTCTCTTATGTTTTATGGGAGAAAAATATACAACTTTATTGAGAGATGAGTTATTATTAGGTAGCTGTGTATAACTGTTGTTTGATAATATTGTTTGTTAGCTGATTAAAAAGAAGGATCAACATAATATAGCATGAGGCAGCAGCCAGAAACATATTGGTAGAATGATTTCAGTTTGATGAGATGCTATCTTTGTTGGTTTCAGGTTCCTAAAGTCACCTACACTGAATTCTGTCAAGGTCGGACGATGAGATGGGCCTTAGCTTGGAGTTTTTATGATGATGTAACAGTACCAGTAAGTACAGACCTTGCTCAGCTTCGCCACCTGCCAGCACATGGTGGGTTTTGGTCAGTCATAAGTGAACTGAATCATTAGTGTCCTGTTTAACTGAAGTTTGCCCCAAATACTTATGTCAAAATGGAAAGGGGTTGTCACCAAGACACCTAGAAGGCTGGTCCTGGAGCCCGTGGAGCCTTCCTTTGTGAGTTTGTATAACACAGTGGTATTTGCTCAGCAGACAGAAATGTGTCTTTTAGGAATTAAAAATGTGGCCGGGCACGGTGGCTTATGCCTGTAATTCCAGCACTTTGGGAAACTGAGCTGGGTGGATAACTCGAGGCCAGGAGTTTGAGACCTGCCTGGCCAACATGGTGAAACCGTGTCTCTGCTAAAAATACAAAAATTAGCTGGACGTGGTGGTACACACCTGTAATCCCAGCTACTAGGGAGGCTGAGGCACGAGAATTGCTTGAACCAAGGAGACAGAGGTTGTAGTGAGCTGAGACTATGCCACTGCACTTCAGCCTGGGCCACAGAGCAAGACTGTCTCAAAAGTATTAAAAATAAAATATTTTGCCGGGAGTGGTGGCTCAAGCCTGTAATCCCAGCACTGTGGAGGCCGAGACGGGTGGATCACAAGGTCAGGAGATCGAGACCATCCTGGCTAACACGGTGAAACCCCGTCTCTACTAAAAATACAAAAAATTAGCTGGGCGTGGTGGCGGGCGCCTGTAGTCCCAGCTACTCAGGAGGCTGAGGCAGGAGAATGGCGTGAACCCGGGAGGCGGAGCTTGCAGTGAGCCGAGATCGCGCCACTCACTCCAGCCTGGGTGACAGAGCGAGACTCCGTCTCCAAAAAAAATAAATAAATAAAATAAAATAAAATATTTTTAAAAAAACGAGGGCTGGGCCCGGTGGCTCAAGCCTGTAATCCCAGGACTTTGGGAGGCTGAGACGGGCGGATCACGAGGTCAGGAAATCGAGACCATCGTGGCTAACACGGTGAAACTCTGTCTCTACTAAAAAAAATACAAAAAACTAGCCGGGCGTGGTCACAGGCGCCTGTAGTCCCAGCTACTCGGGAGGCTGAGGCAGGAGAATGGCGTGAACCCGGGAGGCGGAGCTTGCAGCGAGCTGAGATATGGCCACTGCACTCCAGCTTGAGCGACAGAGCGAGACTCCATCTCCAAAAAAAAAGAAAATTGAGGTAACATAACCTGTAGAAACATTTTGCAGGTATAATTACGCTGGTGGACATTCCTCAGGAATTGAAAGTGAGGTCTCTTTCTTTTCCTTACCACTGCCGCTTTCCTAGAATAGCTGCCTCCTGGGGCTCCTGGAGGACGCAGAAGTTGACTTTTTGAATTGCAGGTTTTGATGTGTAACACTCGGGGATCATTCTAATGAAGGGTTCTATCTCGGCTTTCAGATTCGCACCAGAATGTTAACCATTTTTGAAGCTGGGTGATAGATCATTATCTCTTTCTATTTTGTGTATGCTAGAACATTTTCTGGAATAAAAAGTTTAAAGAAATGATTTGTGACCAGACCTGGTGGCTCACACCTGTGATCTCCACACTTTGGGAGGCCGAGGCGGGCTGATCACTTGAACTCAGGAGCTGGAAACCAGCCTAGGCAACATGGTGAAATCCCATCTCTACAAAACATACAACAATTTTTGTATTTTGATGGCGCATGCCTGTAGTCCCAGCTGCTGGGGAGGCTGAGGTGGGAGGATCACTTGAGCCTGGCAGGTGGAGGCTGCAGTGAGCCCCAATCGTGTCACTGCACTTTCTGCACTTCAGCCTGGGGCAACAGAGTGAGACCTTGTCTCAAAAAAAAAAAAAAAAAAAAGATTTGTTCACAAATGTCTGTTTGTCCTCAGTGCTGCTATAGGTAAAGGAAAACTGCCTCTGAGCTGGCCAGACCGAATGATCTGGGCAGTGCTGAGAGGCAGTGACAGAATAGCCGCTGTTGGTTCTCACAGTTCCCTCCCAGGTGTGGTTGGCTTCTTGTTGCCTGGAGATTCCCAACTGAAGCGTCTGCACACCCTGCTCAGCACGTGCTCTTCCTTTCCTTATATGTGCGGGGACCGACGCCTGCTGCTTTACGTCTCTCCTCAGCGCCTGCGGCAGCTTGTTCTGGTGCTGCTCTCCCAAGCTCTTGGCCACTCTTGGTCTCTGAAGTCATCTTACCTGTTGCTGTGTGTCTGAGTCTCTTTCCCTGCCCTTGTAGGGTAGAGGAGTAGAGACATGTAGCACAAGGGAACAATCTGCAGATACTGCCACGTTTCTGAAAACAGGAGCTTACATTCGAGGTTGAGCCTGTCCTGCTCTGCAGCTAGAGGTGCTGCTGGGTTGAAGTACGCTCCCCAGTGCCATTTGAATGGCCCTTTCCCTGAAGCGTAGACTCCTGGCCAGTGCAGTAAGGTATCTAGAGGTCTGTGTTTGAAATCGTCTCTGCTTAAAAAGACGCTTCTCCTTGTTTAACACCCCTCACCACCCCGAAGGATTATCCTTTCTGTCATTTTCTAGAATACCAGGGCCCTCACACCACATGGTTAAAATCATCAGTAATGCTCTGAGTTAGCCCCGTGGAGGCACAGCTGCAGGAAAGTGGAACTGCACCTGTTTTCAAGTGCTTTCTGCTTAACCCGCCTCCCCCATGGGTCGGCACCGCAGGTGGAAGAGCGGATAATGCGCCCTGGCATGCCACACCAGCTTGGAGACCGAGTCCTCCTGGCCCTCCTGGATGAGTAGTAATGTCAGGTCCACGTAGTAAAGGGCACTGCTTCTGTGTTAACAAAACCAGCTTATTTTGAAAAGGAACCCCCTACGCTTCCCTCTCCTCCTCTTCTCTGTTTTTGGGGCATCCTTCAGCCCCGTTCTTAGTTCTCAACCATCAGAATGCTAGGGGCCCCAGATTTCCCCCATGCCAGAGTCTTCCTCCCTCCCCACCAGTACCCCAGCCCCAAAAGCTGCTAATAATGCACTCCCAAGTGTTCCATTAGACGCACTTCAACCGCTACAGGAAAAAACGGCAATTCCTGATTTGTAGTAACCCAGCAACAGTTTCTTAGCGCTGCTGCCCTTGATCAGCAACTGCTTTCCCCAGGGGGTCGTCCCAGGGTACTCACGAGGCGTGTATTTGGCGGTCCTCTTGGTTCTCCTCCCTCTTCCTAGACCTCTCTCCCCGCCCTCGTTTTTTGAAAAGCCCATCTGACTTTCCCCCTCTCGCTCCTGTTGGGGGTGAGGAAGGAGGAGGATGCTGCTTTAGACAAGGAATAGAGCTAGTTAAGCAGAAACATTGACCTATTTCCCCACCCCCACTCCCGCCATTTTAGGGTAAATGTGCAAGTTACTATGGCAACTTCTGTTTTCACTTATCGCAGGCCTCCTGACTCGTTTCTGTTGGTGCTGAATGCTGAAAAATTCTAATTCACTGGTGATTCACGTGTCCACACTCAGCCCATTCCTGGTGTCTGGATTTATTTTAGCAACAAAAAGACAGGTCCTAATGTTGATAGAATTTCGTTCCATAATTTCAACTAATGATGAATATAAGGAAGCGTGTTCTACAAACTGTTCTCTGCAGAATTCTGACAAGCCACTTACCTCTTTGTTCCAGCTCTCCTCTCATTGCCCAAGGCATTATTTTAGCTTTATTTTGGTTTGCTTTAAGGAAGTTGGACGTTTGTTAAGAGAAAAGGGGGAAAATGCAGCCCCAGTGAGTTGTTCACTCTTGGTGTGAGCGCTGCTCAGGAACTCTGGGCTTGAAAAGGATCCTCTACATTGAAGACATTACCTTTAAGCCTGGGACGTGACTGTCTAGGGAGTGAGAACTAGAGAGCTTTTTGGAGAGCAGATGGAGGAGAGGTGTCAAATTAATTAGGCAACTGTGCGTGTTGGAGGTGGTGTCCTGACAGAGCCTGGCTCCCTTCTCCATAGGTTTTCAGAGCCTGGCTCCCTTCTCCATAGGTTTTCAGTCCCGTCACATAGCTGAGGGGTGCCGTGCAGGGGCCCAGGGCGGGGCAGACATCAGGCTGGTACTTGAGGCCTCCCTCTCATTTTAAAGAGCTCATCTGCTTTTATCCATTTTATGCATTGATTTATTTGTTGAAAGTGTCCTGCTGTTAAGAAATGGTTTGGGCTGGCTGTGGTGGCTGATAATCCCAGCACTTTGGGAGGCTGAGGTGGGTGGATCACCTGAGGTCAGGAGTTTGAGTCCAGCCTGGCCAACATGGTGAAACCCCATCTCTACTAAAAATACAAAAGTTAGTTGGGTGTGGTGGTGCACACCTGTAATCCCAGCTACTGGGGAGACTGAGGCAGGAAAATCGCTTGAACCTGCAAGGCGGAGGTTACGGTGAGCCGAGGTCACGCCACTGCACTCCAGCCTGGATGACAGAGTGAGACTTGGTTTCAAAATAAAAGAAAGAAAGAAAGAAAGAGTTTGAAAACCAGTACTGTACCGGGCTGTGCATTATGCTACCAAATGGATGTGATGGCCAGGGGCCTGAGCTCTTGAGCAAAGCCAAAGCTTATTAGGACCCTGTTCTTAGTTACTTTTCTTCTTAAGTGTGGTCTTCATTGTGATGATAAACAAATCAGACATTGTTTTCTGTTCTTTACAATGATCAGTTTTATAGGAAAGAAAAACACGTAGCGCTATTGATGCAGATTTGCATGTGAGTAAGTGTTGACATGGATGGTGGTAGCAAGAGTGGCCAGGAGTTGAGGAAAGGAGATGGCTCAGGCTGGGGCTAGTCAGGAACAGCTTTCCGGAGGAGGAGTCGCCAGCGTCTGGCTGTGGGCAGGTGGGTGGTGCTCCCAGTGTTTGTGGAATGTTTAAAGGAATGGTGTAGGACTTACATTGAAGAGCAACATTGTGAGCAAGAACCGGTAGATTTAGTAGATTTGAAGCACTGGATATAATATTTGTTGTTATTTGAATACTTCAATACATTATATTCTCATTTTATTTCCGCCTGACAGCAGTCGAGTGAAGTAGATGGT